GGACCCAACAGTCAGTAAGAAAGGTAAGCTGATCTGCAAAACATGAGAGAAGAGAAAAGCTCATGTTGTGTACTGAGATGCTTTCAGCGGTTAAAGAATTATAGTGATAGATTGGATATGTTTACTTCTGCCCTCAACATGTCCAGTGTTTTCAAACAGTGTTATCAGAAATCGCTTAAACAGTTCCTTTATCTAGCATCAGGTTTTATGTATTTAAGGTAGCATTTGCCACACAGTTGAATCAAAATTAATATAAAATGAAAAGATTAGAGGACTGTTACAAGCATATAACCAAAAATGGTATTTGGTTAACTTAGAAGCTTTCTTTTAACCAACTTTAGGTTAAAATAGACTGGAATGCCTGTCATAAAGGGGTTTGCACCATGCAAAATCTAATAGAGCACTGTCGTAATTATGCTCCTCTAAAAGTGAATTTCTTTTCTGAGCTTGGTTGACACGCGTTTCTCCTGACTTTGACCAGGATAGTACAGTGCCAAGCCATTCATGCGACGGACTGCAGTGTGGGTGGCTGACATTCTCAGTAATGTCAGTAAGCAGAGGCAGCATTTTCAACACTGGGATCACCACATGTCCAATGACTGTAGTGTATGAGCCCATGTTAGGATGCCACTCAGGGGTTTCATCCTGAGTGGCAGGATCCTTTTGCTGACATGAAATAAGATTTCAGTGATTGTATTTGACTGTATGCAAAATGGGCATGGTGGGTGTCATTATTAGTGCCAAAAATAGTTTGCGAGAAGAAACAAGAACAGGAGGAAGAGGAAAAGACAAAGGGACAGGAGTAACAGCAGTTGTAGTATTTGGTTGCTGATTCCCCCCTCAAAAAAAAAATTATATGCACAATTCATCAAACATAGTGCAGCCAAAACAAGATACTGTACTGGCTTTGAGTAACACATAGAAAATACAAACATCATAATCTAGTCAGGCAGGTTACCACTTCTTAGGTCTGACTGGATTCCTTCATTGAGAAGAGGGTTGAATTGTCTGATGGGCCCCTTCCAACTCAATTATTCTATAATTCTTAATTTAACTGATTTCAGAGAAAGAAACCAAATTGCATTGCTGATAAATTCTGCCATCAAATATAATGGGCCTATGGTTCAACAGATACTGTATAATGAATATTCACACTTTTTCTTGTCTTCTCTACAAAAGTATATCTTGCGATGTAAAGACACCCCATTAGGAAAAAAAACAACTGCTTCAGGATTTTGTGCTGTAGCAAAAGAGAAAGAAAAGTCCAGTGCTTTTTTCGTCAGCAGCAGTATTAGCAGAAGTGTTCCTTTTTGTCCATGTGAATTTTGCACCAAAGATTGTAGTTTAAAGAAATACAGGTATCTTTTGCACAATCTGCACTTTTGCAATCATATAAGGGTAATTGTGGAAACCTTTCCAGTCCTTCAACAGGCTCTCGTTCATGTATCCAGTCTCACCCTCATTGTGAAGATGGGCATGGGATTAATTATGCAATAGGGAGCCTGCTGGGGACAAACAATGCTGTGGGATTTCCCTTGGACCTGTGGAAGACATAAACAGAATTTGGGCCTTTTTCTTTTTTTGCACAAAATATAACCTATTTTGCACAAAATATAACCTATTTTGCATATTTCCCATGCAAAATAAATAAATAAATACTGTGCCAAATCTATAAATCTTTAAACTACACAACAGACAAAGCCTGAAGGCAAAACTGGTCCATTTGAGTGGTAATTAATGTTATCCTCTGAACAAACAAATAGAAAAAAGAAAAATAGGATGTACTTCAAAATATCTTACTGTGACATAATACTGAAACCAAGGAGATCTTCCAAATGACCTTATATTTTAGCCTGGTTAGTATCAGAAATGGTAAAAACAAAAGAGATAGATAGATAGATAGATAGATAGATAGATAGATAGATAGATAGATAGATAGATAGATAGATAGATAGATAGATAGATAGATAGATAGATAGATAGATAGATAGATAGATAGATAGA